CTCCTGGTGACCCAGGTGTGTATGGAGAGCATACCTGTGGGCAGGCTCAGCCCCGAGGCTGCCGGGGTGTCCGTGCCTGTTGCCACTGGAGCCGTGAACCCGAGATGCCCGTCGGGGAGAGCGGCGCGTGGGCTGCGGTCAGCCCAGCTTTCCCTGCCTCTCATCCCAGCCTCTCCCAGTGGCTCTGCATGGATATTTTCCAGGTTTCTTGTGCTTTCACGCTGGAGTCATCACTGAAGCGTCGTGAAACGCTGCATGCTAAGGGGTAGTTAGTGGCCAGCATTGCTTATGTGTCATTTTGCAAGCGATATCATACACAGTAATTAGCACTGTGCCTTGCAGGAGAAATATCATTGCATCTGGAAAGGGTAATGCGTGTGTTGGGCTGCTCCCACCCCATCTCCTGGGGAGAGTTGCTGAAGAACACAATTAAACCTGCGTGGTTTAGTGATAAGGGGTGGTGGGACGGGTTCTCCTGTCCTCCTCGTGGTGTGGGCACCCCTGAGAATACCAAGTAAGCACTTCAGCTTCTCAGCAGGCCAGGTGATCTCAGAAAGCAGATAGTAAACCCAAATATTTGGGGTGAGTCCCAGTGTGTTCGTTTTGTGGTTTGCTCCTGGTGGCCTGCTCCCCATACACAAGCATCTCCTGCTGCTCAGCAGTTCCAAGCTGGCTCTGTCTGTGATGAGGCATAGCTGCAGTTTTAGGGCTCCTTTGGTCCTTCAGCCATGGCTGCGTGTCCACCTCGTGTGGCTTGTGATGCTTACCTCTGCAGAGATGTGAAGAGAAGGCTCTGAGGCCATGGAGGCCGGGGGAGATGGGTCCCAATAGCACACCATGGATGCCAGTTTTGCTCAAGAGCCACCTTGCAAGGCACTGCAACTCACCACAACAGGCAGCACTTCCAGGAGCAGACCCTAAAATTTAGTTTGGGTTCCTTATGCAAATGTCTAGCACCCAGAGCCCACCTGGGCACGCTGGCTCTGCAGAGGACCTTGTCCAGTGCTCATCTCTCTGAGTGACACAGAATTTTGAATGAGAAGGTGCCTGATACCTCACACCAGTCTGCAAGGCAGCGAGTCCAGCACCAAAAACAAAAGTGAGAAGCCTTTCGCAACTGAGGCTGGGTATTATATGACTGGCCGGGCAGATTCTGGCATGCAGCCTCCTCTCTTAGGAAATCAGGCAGACTCTTTGTCTGCTCTCCAGCAGGAACTGCTGCTTTCATTGCCCAGCTTCGCCCGATACAGGGGAAACCGGCTGGAGAGCAGAGGGAAGTTTTTCTCGCAGACAGCCCCAGCCTCCAGGGGATGATTACAGGTTGAACTGAGGAGCTCAAGAGTCCCAGCTCACCTGCCCTCTTGTCTGCCTCATGTTGCTCTTTCAGATCCCTCGTCCACGTCCATCAGCTGGTTTGAGCCCTGTGGGAACCTGGTGGAGAGGGAAGGGATGGTGCCCACAGTGGGATTTGGGCAGAGGCACGCAGCAGGGAGGAGCAGCTATAAATAGTTAAATAAATAATAATTCCAATGTGGGAGTGCTGATTTAATGGGTATAGAGTGTTTACCTTAAAATATTTTAAGTAAATATGAATTGGATTGCAAACAGTGAATGCAAGTGGCTGGGTGGTCACACGAGTGCTGCAACTTCAGGGCTGTGATTTCCGTGGAGCTCTCAAAACATTTTCACTCTTTTTTTTTTTCTGTTTTTTTTTTGCAGCCCTGGTCAGGTCTGACTCAGGGGTGACAGAGCTTTGGGAAACACTGTGCTCTGGCTGAAGGAAGCTCCCAAATGCTTTGAGTGCCTGGTGCTCACATGGGGCACGATCAGTGGGGATGAAATACCCTTTGAGAAGTACAAGCAAGTTTTGTTTGATGGGTGAGGACATCCATGGTGGGACCCCAGGCAGCGCAGTCCTTGCAGTCAGCAAGGTTCAGTGCCCACACCAGGCTCCCTGATCTCCTCCTGCTCTGTCATGCAGGGCTCAGAGGCAGATGGTGCCTACACCCCAGCATGCTACAAACATGGTCAGCAACACACAGAGAAACAGTGGCACCGTTCTGACCCTCCAGGCTTCAGTCCATTGCACTGATGCAGGCGGCTGGCAGCCATCTGTGATCATGGATTTGGGCTCTGGTTCTCCAGAGCAGTAGCAGATCTCCCTCATGCACAGGGATGTGCCTGGGCTTGGTGGGCAGGCTGTGGCCCTCCCCAGCCTGCCTGTCTCAGGCAGAGGCTCACCTGTAGTGCCTCAGAACTGGTTTCCCTTGGTAGTCTATGGAGCAGTGGAGCATGTGGGACTTGGGTGGGCAAGGTGGGGCACATGGTGCCTTGGAGGGATGGAGCTGGTGGATCCTGGGTGGATGAGGTGCAG